TCAGCTGCTGGGGGTAGCGATCAGACAACGTATGGCTCGCGTGCCCACAGGGAAGGCTCTGCATGCCAGTTGAGGCATGCGTGCCCTAGGTTCACCATCGCTGCACTCGCCCTACTGAACAGAGGAGGTCCATGTCACCCTCTCTCTGTTCACGTAAGACAGGGTGGTCATGTCTGTCTGCCCTTTAGAACAACACTCGACTCCTAGAGAATCTTGAAGCTAAACGTTGTAGAGGATTTGTCTGTGCGCTGACTGACAACCATTGTGCACAGGTCTGGAGACACGGGCAAAGAGTTCCCTGTCCTGAAAGAGGCACTTTGGACATTGCGAAAGCCAAAGCGTGCCCTCCCTGGGAAGGAACGTGCCGGACGTCAGGCTGAGTTTTGTCATCCACCAGATGTGACCAAGGCAAACCGGCCGGCAGAAAACGAGAAGGCAGCTTTTATGATCCTCCTCCTGGTCAAAGACCCCATGGAAGCCACACCATAGAAGGTAAAGGTGAAGGCAACAGAAAAGGGCTGTGGATGCAAGTTTAATCCAAAGTCAACATTTAAAGAATAAAATAAAACCCCTTACAGTACCATGCATCCAGAGGCTTGGGAAGAAGTGTAAGAGGACCTCCACCGTTTAGGTAGGCTAAACATCGCATTGCGATAATTTCTGCACCCGGCGGCCATTTTGGGAACAGCTGATCGGTGGTTCCAAAATGGCCCCCGGGTGCAGAAAATGGCCGCCCGCACCATTTTCGCGCCCTGCCCTTGCTTACCGGGCAGCGAAAATGGCGGCCGGATCCAGGATTCTTCGCTTACCCGGGAGTTTTTCCCTAATAGGAACGCATTAAACGGAGGTTAATGGGTTTCTATGGGTTTTCCCCGCCCGGATAGCGAAGAATCCCGATAGCGACGTTAATCCTGGAACGGATTAACGTCGTTATGCGGGGCACCACTGTAATTCAAAAAATAAAAGTAGTAAAGGACACAGAAAAGTGAAGGACAGAGAAGGACACAGAAAAGAAAAAGTGGTAAGAAAAGTCATAATGTATTCGCGAAGGTCATAAGTTCCCCCAAAGGCAAACAAATCCTCAAGTGCTCACTTCCGCAACAGACAAAAATAGATGGAGAAGAGTCGACGTCCCTCTTACACACACAAAACAAAGGGAGATATCCACTAGAAATCTTCAGCTCTAGACATTTCCAAAGGGCTCTGTGCAGGTGCAGAATCATAAATATATGTGCATCACTGAGCTCACAAAGCAGCCACTACCTTAACTGGCTAAGGCAAGGGTTACTAAGTTCACTGTGTCTGGAAAACTCTGTAATGTGTACTGACCTGTCTTGTTCCGCGTCAGGATTCATGGAACATACCCAGGTGTCTGGGTATGATTGTTCCACAGAGCTGAGCTGGAAGGGGAGAGTCCGCCACTTCAGACACAGGTCTGTCACAGAAGAACACACCACAAATCAGCACATCAAGGAGGCCACTGAGTAAAGCCTCCCTGTGGGGCCCACACGTGAGAACTTGGAAACGCTCTCGTACCTCCATCTTCTTACTGGTTACTAAGACGGGAAACGTCTACAACAGTTAATGTACGTCAGACTTAACAGAGGGCCCCAGAAACAAAGGAAAATCAGGAGATCTCTATCATATAGAAAACGGTTCCCCATGTAGAGGGATTTGGGGGGGGGTGCACGCGGCAACGGAGTAAATACTGGGAGGCTTCATTTGCCACTGGACTGTGTTGCTGTGTTTTTCCCCCCTGCTGCCTCAGCCATCACTGGGGACTTCGACTCCACACCCCCTCCTGGAGCAACCGCTTGGTCCAACTTACCACACTGTATGGTCGTGGGGATCTCCATGGCTCTCCGCCGCTTGTAACGCAGCTCGCTTGACGGAGGCTGGTCCCACTTTGCCGATATGTAGCCGAAGTCATCCCAGAATTTGGCAATGCCTTTCTGAGCTGGAACAAAATAGCCATCATCCTAAGAGACTCTTTGTGTTGCAGTCTACATCTCTCTGCCTAGCACCCCCTTTTCACGCCCAGCTTGCACCAAGCTGCCCCATCTTCTTACCAATTTCGATATCCTTCCAATACTGAACCAAATGTTCTCCCATTGCCTTGAGCAAGTGCCGATACTCTTTGGCGTCCGCGAAGTCCTGCTTGTTGTGTGTGGGTTCCAAGACCAGGTAGGGGATGTCCACAACGCCTACGACACCACCACATGCCCTGTGAGGAAGACACACACACACACAAACACACACTCAATGACTCACTCGGGGGTGCAAACCAACCGGATTCCACACCTTCTTGCCACAGCAAATAGGAACGTGCACATTAAGGAGTCTATTGGCTAAATGGACCCCAATGAATGGTCTGGCGGAAAAACAGCTTTTAAAACAGCACTTAAGTATTTTCCAGGGATGAACTGCTCTGTTTGTTGTTGTTGTTTAGTCGTATCCGACTCTTCATGACCACGTGGAGCAGAGCACGCCAGGCCCTCCTGTCTTCCACTGCCTCCCATAGTTGTGATAAATTCATGTTGGTTGTTTCGATGACACTGTCCACCCATCTCATCCTCTGCTGTCTCCTTCTCCTCTTGCCTTCACTCTTTCCCAACATCGGGGTCTTTTCCAGGGAGTCTTCTCTTCTCAAGAGATAGCCAAAGGATTGGAGCTTCAGGATCTGTCCTTCCAGTGAGCCCTCAGGGTTGATTTCCTTCAGAATGGATAGGATTGATCTCCTTGCAGTCCAGGGGACGCTCAAGAGCCTCCTCCAGCACCACCATTCAAAAGCATCAATTCTTTGGCGGTCAGCTTTCTTTATGGTCTAGCTCTCACATCACTACTGGAAAACCCATAGCTTTGACTATTCAGACTTTTGTTGGCAAGGTGATGTCTCTGTTTTTTAAGATATTGTCGAGATTTGTAATCACTTTCCTCCCAAGAAGCAGGCGTATTTTAATTTTGTGGCTACTGTTCCCATCTGCAGTGATCATGGAGCCAAAAAAAGAGTAAAATCTGCCACTGCCTCCGTATCTTCCCCTTCTCTTTGCCAGGAGGTTGATGTTACCAGTGGCCATGATCTTGGTTTTTTTGATGATGAGCTTTTGGCACTCTCCTCTTTCACCCTCATTACGAGGTCCTTTAATTCCTCCTCACTTTCTGCCATCAGAGTGGCATCATCTGCATATCAGAGATTGTTAATATTTCTTCCTGCAATCTTAATTCAAGGTTTGGGATTCTTCTGGTCTGGCCTTTCGCATAATGTATTCTGCATATAAGTTAAATAAGCAGGGAGACAATATACAGCCTTGCCGTACTCCTTTCCCAATTCTGAACCAATCAGTTTTTCCATATCCAGTTCTAACTGTTGCTTCCTGTCCCACATATCGATTTCTCAGGAGATAGACAAAGGTGGTCAGGCACTCCCATTTCTTTAAGGACTTGCCATAGTTTGCTGTGATCCACACAGTCAAAGGCTCTTGCGTAGTCAATAAAGCAGAAGTAGATGTTTTTCTGGAACTCTCTGGCTTTCTCCATAATCCAGCACATGTTAGCAATTTGGTCTCTAGTTCCTCTGCCCCATCAAAATCCAGCGTGTACTTCTGGGAGTTCTCGGTCTACATACTGCTGAAGCCTACCTTGGAGGATTCTGAGCATAACCTTGGCAGCATGTGAAATGAGTGCAACTGTATGGTAGTTGGAGCATTCTTTGGCACTGCTCTTCTTTGGGATTGGGATGTAGACTGATCTTTTCCAGTCCTCTGGTCACTGCTGAGTTTTCCAAACTTGCTGACATACTGAATGAAGCACCTTAACAGTATCATCTTTTTAAAGATTTTAAATAGTTCAACTGGAATGCCATCCCCTCCACTGGCCTTGTTGTTAGACAAGCTTTCTAAGGCCCACTTGACCTCACTCTACAGGATGTCTGGCTCAAGGTTGGCAGCCACACTATCTGGGTTTTCAGGTACATCCAAATCTTTCTTGTATAATTCCTGTGTATTCTTGCCACTTCTTGTTGAGGTCTTCTGCTTCCATTAGGTCCCTCCCATTTTTATCTTTTATCATATCCATCTTTGCATAAAATGTTCCTTTAATATCTCCAATTTTCCTGAACAGATTTCTGGTTTTTCCTTTTCTTTTCCTCCGTTTCTTTGCATTATTCATTTAAGAAGGCCCTCTTGTCTCTCCTTGTTATTCTTTGGAAATCTGCATTCAATTTTCCCTATTTCCCTTGCATTTTGTTTCTCTTCTCTGCTATTTGTAAGGCCTCAAGCTTTTCATTTAAAACAAGAGGTGCCCGGCTTTAGAGGAAAATGTATGTGCAGAGATTGCCACTGAATTATTAGTGGTGGGGCAGAAGGGGGTGCCCTTCCCCACACTGGGAACTTGTCTGCCCTCTTGTAACATTGCACCTGAAAGTGTATGAACTCAGAAAGGTGGATGAGCGAGATTGGGAGTGGTTGCGAAGAGGGCTTCCACGCGGTCGGGCCCATGTCCGACCCGGTCACCAACACAAGAAATGAAACTGGAAACAGGGAACTAAAACATAACATTCTCCTGCAACTTCATCAATTGTGCAGTTCACCCAAGGCATGGATTGGGGGGTTTGCCTGGATCAAAATTTAGTTTTTTAAGTCAGGGCACGCAGAGTCCTGTCTCTACCCAAAAAGATAACAGAGAGAAAGATTCATGGTTGAGAGGCAGAACTAGTGCTTCCAGAGCATATTTTAACACAAGCAGGCGTTCTCTGTTGTTCAGGGCAAGAGCTGCCCGGAGGCGTGCATCTGCAAACAACTCACGTGCCACTGTCCAGCTGCGGGCCCACCTTCTCATACATCTTAATCAGCCGGCTGCAGTTATAGATAAACATCCCATCCAAATAGCGCTGCTCTATGTTCACCCCAAAGATGAAGTTCAGCTCTTTGGGCTCCTTTAGTGCCCTGCGGAGGGAAGCAAAGAACCAGGAAAGTCATTCTTACTTACAGGATTTCTTTGTGGGTCTGTGTTTCAGGGAGAGGTCTCTGACCTGCTCTTCCAGCCACTCACCTCTGCTTGGCCTCCCTGATCCTCTTCTTCACATCAGCCTCTCGGCGCATGGTCATTGCCATGTCCTGGGCTTGGCGCAGCATGATCTGCAGACATGAAGGATCAATCTCAGCCTTGGGTCACAATACAACATTATCCATGGCTTAAAATTCACATTTATTTAAAAAACGATGGCCTGGATCCTGCTGCACCTGTTATGCTGCAACCAGGAGTGGCGATTTCTCAGATTTAAAGGGTTCCTTCCCTGGCCCTATAGTTCCTGAAGGCTTGCCTTAGGACGTGGGGAGGAGAATCAGAAGTTTTTAATACTTCTAAAACAGACGTGGCTGATGATATCATCTGTGTTGTGCAGTGTGATGTGAGCAGCAGGATTCTGGCCACTGAATAACTACGCCTGCGCAATGTAATGAACAACCAACCAAATAAAACATAAGGGAACAATCTTCTCACAGACCCTTTCATGTTCCACTGATAACAAAACAGCAATGGCTTAAACGTGTGCTAGAACTTTCTACTGGAATAAATGGGATTTAAACATGATTAACTTTTCTGGATCTGGCTGATACTCTATTCTGTTTTTAATTCTGACACTAAGCCTAGTGTCTCATATGGCTGACTGTTGACTTTCTACACTCTGTATTTTGGGCCTTTCACAGTCAGTCTACCCTAAAATCCTGAGTCTCTTATAAGAAATGTCAATTAAGTCTATTACGCAAGGACACGATGCACCTGAACGAATGGGGTGTGTGTGTCAGACATAAGGAGTGAGATTAATGAGTGAAATTCCATTCAACGAATTTCCCCAAATTCAAGAAATTCACTCGTACACCCAGCTGCACGATTACAAAAAAGTTTTATTTTCCTTCTTTTTTTACCGGGTGGTAAAAAGACTGGAAATGTAACTCTTACAAGTTAAGGATAGCAAATAGACAAACCAAAGGAAAAAAAAAGATCGAAACAGGTTTTAGCTTATCCTGGTTGCAAAAACCAGCATCCTTTCACCCTGCCAACAAGCATTTAACATTCTGCTGGTGGCTCTCTTGCTAATGTTTGGAAGCTACTCCACATCCTCCGGCTGGAAACTGGATTTAAATGCAGTAGGGTCAGAAACTATGTTATGTTACCCGTGACTCTCTGGTGAGATCCCCTCCTAAGCTCAGCTCCAAAGCACGCGCTTTGCTCTCTGCTTCTCGAGCCTTCTCTTCCGCTAAAAACACAAAGGCAAGTTAGCATTCGCACAGAAAATAGCATTTTGCTGAAGGAGACCACTAGAAAGCTTGCCACGGTCATTACAAATTTGTAATGAGAAATTTACTGAGTGTTATCGACTGCCTTTTCCAGACATCATTCTGCAACCGTTCACTTTTCCTTTGACAGCGCACCTGTGTTTTCCACATTCTGAGCACCTGCCACTTTTAAAACATCGTATTTTTTCAGGAAGCAAAGAAGAAACCAAGTTTTTGGGTCCTTTTTATATTCTGCCACCTACCAATATCAGAAAAGGATAGCATGAGAGAGCCAATGAAACTCAAACTAATATTGGGAAACCATCTCTTGATTTCTATTCAGATGTACGTTAACATGGCTCTTTCTACTACGGGTGTGTGCCATTTCATCTGTCTTTGGACAGAAGAATGGCATATAAATAAAAAATAATGAAGGAACGAATGATAAATGTTAAAACACAGACCAAATCTGGCTATTTGTGTCTTTCTAGGGCAACCATAGGGCAGAGCAAACAGCCCAGAGGAACTCAAAGTATAAGGGGCATCTCCTAATATCTCTTGTATGAAGTCTGGCCTTCGGGTTGGGTTAAAAATGTTGAACTATAAATAACATGATGCTATTAAAAACAGGGAAAAGGACATTAAATGGTCAATATCATATTTTTAAAATGCTGAGGTAGCATCAAGGGAGCCTCTTCTACAGAGAAGTCAGTGATTCAACCTGCAAAGTCTACATTCCGTCAGCACTGACCCCATTTGTTTCTGGATTCCTCCCACATATTTCAGTCCTCCAGCCTCAGAGAAGCAGCAGGAGAGGAAAGTGAGGGAAACAAAAGGCATAGAAAGAATGGGGAGAAATATGGGGACAAGGTCAACTTTGCCTTCCTCCAATCAACATGAACTGTTTTACCTCCCCAGGGAAAAACCTAATTGTACACCCTAATTGACTAGAAGAAGAGAAGGCTGAAAAAAAAAAACCCAAGAGAAAGAGGTCAACCTCCAGTTCATCGGAAGAAAGAACAGGCTCCTCCTGCACTGCCTTTTAAAAAAGGATTCAAAGAGGACAGTGTTCGTTGTCCTTTCAATCTTACTCATCCCTCTTGTTTTCTTGTGGTACCTTAGAAAAGCCTCTGTGCTGATTGACAAAATCAGGTTCTCTCCCTGATGGCTTGGGTGGGCAGGGAAAACAAGAGGCCCCGAAGCCCATCTGTCTTGCTTGCATCTCAGACACTCGGGGCCTGTTCTAGTTCTACCACTAACCCAGCCTCTGACCTGGCCTGGCCGCTTTTGTTCCTCTCTTCCAAGGAATACTCCCGTTGTTTGTCCCTGGAGAGACAACAACACACAAATTCTGATGTCGACACAGGCAAGGATTGGGTCTGAGTGTCTGAAAAAAAAAAAAGCTCAGGCTCGGTTGGGCGTCCATCTCTTGTGCAAGGACACAGAGCAGGTCAAGTGACCTGGTGCACATCCCTCATGTGGATGCTGTTTGCCAAAAAAGTTCCTGTTTTGTAGCAGCTTCCTGGGTTGAGAACCTAGAATCCCAGAATCCTGGAGACAGAAGGGGCCTATTCTAAGGCCATAGAGTCTACCTCCCAGCTCAAGGCAAGAGTCTGAATCAAAGCAGATCAACAAGAGGAGGGAAATGGCCCAACGCTGATGAATACAAAACATTTTCTGCTAAAAAGGAACATTTCAAAAGAGGTGAAAAATTACATCCTCTGACATCCCTGTCAAGAACGGATTCAATATCCTTGACGAATTTAAAAGCCACCCAAGCGACCAACTCAAGGTGGAGACCTCAAACTCCTTTTTAAGGTGGAGGAGAAGGGAGACAAAGCCATGAACTCACCAACCCGAGCCATATGGTCTGCCTTCTTCACTTCCTGCTCGGCCCGAGTCTTGAACCGCTTGGAAGTATATTTGTACATCCTGTTGGGAGAAGGAATGGCGGGGACAGAAGAAAACAGACCACGTCTATGACACTGTTCAGCTATCCCAACAAGAACTAGAACAAAAGCAAGCCCAAGCACATGCTAGATCCGCATGGCGGGATATCAAACTATTCTAATTGTCTAAACTGGATGGCCAAATATAACTTTATAACCCGAAAACTTGAAGTTGATTTGGGGCGGGAGGAGTTAACTGGACTTTCTTAAGAAGCAGTATACAAAAACTACGGCAGAGTGACTTTCTGCTTTCCGCTGAACCGTAGCATTACACACAGTCTGGCTACATGATAAACGTTTGACTATAATTCCTACCTCGGTTTATACAAACAGCAGGAAAGGCGCTTGGTTTGAACTTTGTGTCCATGGATGAAAATTCTCATTCTAGGATCAATATAGAGCACAGTGGCATATGCACGGAAGGAGCGGCGCTCGGGTTTCCTGAAAGAGAAAAGAGCTCATGGAAGATTGAAGATCCACCCAAACTGCTAGGAATACCCTGTACCTCGCACATCCCATCATCCTGAAGTTGCACATCACCAAGTGAAATGATTAACTCATCCTCAAGATACAAAAACAAATTCACTGCATAAATTCACTGCAGCTGAGAAAGCACATTTTAAGAAAATTTGCTTTTCAATCCAAATCAGTCTTGTTCAGTTCAACATCGCAACTCCTAAACCCTCTACTACCTGTTATCTTTATGTGTGCTTCTTCAAGTGGCAATTTGTGCATTCAGACATATGGGTTCTTTGCCCATTTAGTTTCAGTCAAACTACCCTAGAGCTGAGAGTTTCTGCAAAATTATCACTAGGCTATGATACATTCATCGTTCCTATTAGTTCATTAAAACATTATGACTTGCTGAGGGCACTGGCTGGGATGTTCTGGTCCCATCAGAAGTGCATTGTGATGATGCTGATGTTTGAGTGATGCACCATCCCCAGGGGCTGAGTGAAGTGCAGTAGTACAGACAAATGTATGTTACTCTAATAAGCAGCAGTCCTGTTGTCTGTGACTACCTGAACCGTGTTTTGATGAATGAGGACCTAGAATGCTTCAACAGTCCTTGGAACTGTAAGTAGCTCAAGTATGATGACACACAGAGACGTCTGGTAATGGAACCACTGGTCTTGGAGACTTAGACCCCAGCAATGTGCACTCCGAACTGCCATGGTTGCATCGGTAGAAATCTGCAGGGCTGGTTATGAAAAATGGAATGGGATACCTACTATGGAGGAATCTCTCCTGAGGCTTGGTCAAGAGATGGGAAGAAGGATGAGAAAAGTAACCGCTAATTTAGATGAAAATCCAGTACTACCTTAGCAACAAACAAGACCTTGGGAGAAAGGTGAACCTTGTCCTTGTAGAATTGTAGGTAAGAGTAGTAGCATCTCAATGCTGCCAACTCACTAGAACTTATCTAGCGAATATGATGGAAACCAGGAAGACAGGCTTGAATGTCAAGAGGCAATTATCAGTCAAGGCTAAAGGTTCGAAAGAGCGACCACCACAGGAAGGGATCACTGAGATGGTTGGGATGAGACATCTGGATAAACCCTTCAGGAAGTGTTTGAAGACTGAATCTTTACATCAGGGGACTGGTGGACTACAATGGGAGAAAGGTATACAGTATATTGTTGGGGGACAGTGGAAGAACTTGTTTAAGGTAGAGGAGCAACCAAAGGACCATCCCCAGGAGGGTCTTAGCATGAACTTTCCCAAGGAGTGAAGGCTGAGAACCGCTTCCATTTTTAGCTGTGGATCTGTCTCGTAGACGGTTTGCAAGATCTGACCAAAATTTGATTCAGGGATAGAGAATCCTCCAAGCCATAGGAGGAAGTGAGGGAAGATCTGGGTGGAGATTCTGGCCCTTGTGCTGGGAGATCAGATGAGGAAGCTGAGTAAGATGGAGCATATTTGATGCCATCTGACAAAAGGGCTGCCCTGGGCCCCCAAGGAGCAATCAAAATAGCATTCACTCCATGTTGCTGAATCCTGATGCTGGCTGTGTAACAGTGAGAAAAAAAATGAAGTAGGGACTTAAGGCCACTTGGTGACAAAGGCATCTCTCACTGACGCTACTCCATGATCCGCCCTTGAACAGTAAAGGGGATAAAACTTGTTTTATTGGGAAACAAAATAATCTCCATTGAGGTACCCCAGCGATTACATGTCTCCTGAAAAACATGAGGGTCTAATTCATCATGGATCTTGGAAGACCTGCAACTGAGGTTATCTTCAAGAGCGTTGCCTACCATGTGGATCACTGTGAGGAACATGTTGCAAGATAGGCCTCACTCTCACAAACTGACCATCAAGATACAGGAGACCAGGAGACTCTCGCTTTGGTTGTTTAAGTAGTACATGGAGGTGGAGTTGTCATGGCCACCTGTACTAACTTGCTTTCCCATGCAGAGACTGGCCTTCATTGTCCACCAGCCGAGTGGATCTGCTAACTCTGGAGTGATCATCGGAAGGGCTGAGTTGGCATTGTGCTTTTTATCGAAGAGGACACGGTACCATGCCTGTAATGATCTTATTTTCAGGTGAGTGACCGCTGCTGTTGATATCATTAGTTCAAGAACTTTTTGAACTAGTAAGGCCATGACCCTGGCTCCAGGTGAGAAATGCTGTGGAAGCCCAGCCAACTTGGCGAACCTGTCTTGTGGAAGGTAGGCCTAGGCCAAGGTACAGTCCACACTTGCTCCAATATATGGTTGTTTGAGACTGATATGAGGCAGATTTGTCAACGCTGACCTGTAGTCTGTAGTGGGTTGCAAACGTGGACGGCGTGGACCATGTAGCAGCCTTGCAAATGTCCTGAAGAGGGACACCTCTCAGAAACACCGTGGAAGTTGCTACCGCCCTGGCAGAATGGGCTTTGACAGAACACGGAAGGGGTTTCCTAGCTAGTTCGTAAGCCAGATGTATGGCCTGGACGATCCATCTGGAGATGGTCTGTGGTGACACATGTTGACCTTTGTAGGGCTGGTGAGTAGAGATGAAGAGATGCTTGGAGGTCCTAAACAAGGAAGTTTTTTGAACATAATATGACAAGGCCCTGCGAACGTTGAGCAGGTGCAGAGATCGCTCAACAGGAGAAGATGATTTAGGAAAGAAAGTGGGTAGTATAACTGGCTGATGAAAATGAGAACTTGTTGGAACTTTCGTGGTGTCTTGGAGCGGCCCTCTACTGTACACATTTCCTCTTTACTCAGGTCAGCTGTCAAGATATGCCACGACAACGCCAATGCCATCTTGATAGCCCCTTTCTGGCCCCGTCAACCATGGTTCACGATGCTAATAAGATGAGTGGAGGAGTACATGAAGCTCCCGTACCTTCCTCATCTACTGACCCAAAACAACGGTCACTGCATATGGTGCTTAATTGCCTCACACGGCCTCCGTCTGAGCCTCTTGCTACTGCTTCTGAACATCTGCTCACCCTTAAAGTAGTTTTCCTTGTGGTTATAACCTCAGTGAGAAGGGCGTCGGAACTGTCCGCTTTCCGGGTGGACCCTCCTTTCCTCCAATTTTTTCTGGATAAAGTCACACTGTATCCAGATTTTCCTTCTTGCCGAGGGCGATTACATCAATCTGTTAGAGGGAAAGACAAGCAAGATAATGGACCGGGGAAAATAATTAAGCCCTTCTATGGGAAAGACGACATTGTCTTACTAGCATTGAAAGGACCATTGCTGATGCTCTGCTGAGGCAAATGGGTACCATGAGCGCATCTCCATGTGAGCCCTTCCCTTGACCCCCTCTGGAAAGGTAGATTGGGCATTTGGCATTGGTAGAAGTGGCAAAAGCATCCACCACAGGAGTGCCCCACTTCTCACAGATACGACGAAACACATCTTGATCCAGAACTCATTCGTGCATCGTAACCGTCAGCCTGCTGAGACGGTCCGCCAAAACATTCTCTTGCGTGGAGATGTAAACTGCAGACGGGAAGATGTGATGCTCCAGGCACCACTCCCAAAACTGGACCGTCAGGTAGAGAAGGGCAGGAGAGTGAGTGCCACCTTGCTTGTTGACATAAAAGGCGGCAGTGGTGTTGTCCGTCACTATCTGTACAGCTGTGCCCTTGATGATGGGGAGAAAGGCACGGCAGGGTTTGAAGATCGCAAGAAGTTCTAAATTGTTGATGTGTAGAGTCGTCTCTGCTGGGGACCAGCGATCGTGAACTTGTCTGCCCGCGCAATGAGCACCCCAACCGACGGTGCTCGCATCGGTGTTAATTCTTGTTGTGAGACGCAGTGGAGCAAACAAGCAGCCCAAAAAGAGGTTGTAGGGCTTGGTCCACCATTGGAGTTGCTGAGCTAGCTCTGTTGTCACTACGAGCTGCTTGATGGGAGGATCCCTGAGAGGGTCGAAGAGGGACAGGAACCACGCCTGGAGCAAGCGCATCTTCAGCCTGGCGTGTGGAATCACTGACGTGGTGGACACCATCAAACCCAGCAGTCACTGAGCACAGTGCGCGGTGACCATTTGGAGTGGTCGGAATTGTGTGATGAGGGCAGTGATCTTTGTTGCCCGATCTCTGGGCAAGAAGGCTCTGGCCTTTCGAGCATCGAGGACGGCTCCCATGTACCTACCTGGCCACTTGAGAAGGGACGAGCTTTGATTTTTTGAAGTTTACTGCAAGAAGGCTCTGGCCTTTCGAGCATCGAAGACGGCTCCTATGTACCTGGCCACTTGAGAAGGGACGAGCTTTGATTTTTTGAAGTTTACTTGCAGGCCTAGGGTTTGAAGTAGATGTAACACCGTAGTGGTATGGAGCCTTGCCTGATGCTGAGTTGGTGCTACCAGGAGCCAGTTGTCTATGTATGGGTAGACAACGATTCCTCTTGTATGGAGGAACGCTGCCACAGGAGCCATACATTTTGTGAAGACCCTTGGCGTGGTAGAAAAGTCCAAATGGTAGAGCTGAAAATTCGAAGCATTTGAGCCCAAGGGAAAACCATAAATACCTTCGATGGTCTTCTCTTATGTTTATATGGAAACAAGCATTGCTGAGGTTGATCACCACGAACTAATCCCCCTGTTGAAGAAGAGGTAGGATTTTTTCTAGGGTGATCAGTGATGAACCTGTTTAAGTCTCTGAGGTCCAAAATGGGGCAAAAGGTATCGTCTTTTTTTGGGGACCAAAAAGTACCTGGAGAAGAAGCCAGGATTGGGTGGGTCCGGGTAGACTCGAGATGGTTGATTTTTGCAGAAGGGTCTCTATTTCTTCCTTTAGGGGTAGGGACGGTGGCGTGATGATGACACGCTGTGGAGGAAGCTCTAAGAACTCTATGCCGTAGTTGTGAGCGATGATGGAAAGGACCCACTTGTCTGAGGTAATAAGAGACCAATTTGCAATAAAGGGCGATAACCGGGTGGCGTGAGAGGTGAAGAAGCCATAAGTAGTGAGAGAGAAGTAGTCAAAGTCC